TACTCTTCTCTGTGGATGTCCAGCTCCCGCACCGATTGTTGCAGAGACTGGTCTCCCCCATATGCCTTCCTGGCGCCTTTGTTAACGATCCGTTGAGCATATGCGTGGATTTACTTCTGGGCTCTCGGCGGTGATTTTGTGGATGTGATAGCAGTACAGGCAACCAAAATAAAAACAAACAAGTGGGACTCCATCAAACTAAGGCTCAGCACAGCAGAGGAAGCCATCACAGTGACAGGGCGGCCTGTGGCATGGGAGAGAGCCCTTCTGCATCTGAAAGGCGTTCATCTCTAAGATGTCTAAGGAACTCCTGCATCTCAACAGCACAAACACTAACCACTGGATTAAAAAATGGACTAAAGAATCAAATAGACATTCTCACTATAAGAAGGTATACAAGTGACCAGCAGGTACCCATACCTGAACATGAGAAAGCTCTGTGCCACCCGTCACCCGGAAAGTGTAAATCAATAGCACAATGACTGTGACCTCACACCTGTTAGAATGGCTGTCTCTTTAAAGTGTTGGTGAGCACGTGGGGAGACTGGAGCCCTTGCTCACTGTTGGCGGGAATGCACCGCGGTACAGCTGCTATGAAAAACAGCACGGAGGTGCCTCCGAAAGTTAAAAGCAGACTCCCCTACAGCCCAGCAATCCCACTTCTGGCTGTTTATCCAAAAGAACTGAAATCAGCGTCTCGAGGAGAAACTGTTTGCTGAGGGCGATGCTAAAAGGTCCGACAGATCCGGCTCCTGATTCTGGCTCGGCCCTATCCCACTGCCTGTGGCTCTCCGTGAGCTCATTGTGCAATTCTCTGTAGCATTGTCCCCTACAGCCAGGATGTGGGAGCAACCTAAACATGCCATGTGCATGCACTCACATACTGCTCAGCCTTTAAAATGAAGGAAATTCCCTGGCCGGGTGGTTCAGTTGCTTGAAGCATCGTCCTGTACACCAAAAGGTCTCGGGTTCAATCCCCGGTCAGGGCACATACCCAGACTTCTGGTTCCATGATCCCTGGTCGAGGCACCTATGGGAAGCAGCCAATCCAATCAATGTTTCTCTCTCCCTCTCCCCTCTCCCTTCTCCCTTCCTCTCTCTCTAAAATCAATGGAAACATATCCTTGGATGAGGATGAAATAATAACAATAATTTTTTTTTTTTAAGAGAAGGGAATCCTGCCACATGTGACAACATGGGTGGCTCTTGAGGACGTTATGCTAAGTGAAATGAGCCAGTCACAGAAACACAAATGCTGTGGGATTCTGCTTGCCTGTGGTTTCTAAAAGAGTCCGATTCATAGGATGCAGGCGTGGAATGTGGGTGGGGGCTGATCGAGGGGACAACGGGAGTTACTAACCAACAGGCATAGTGCTTCAGGCAGCAAGATGAATAAGCTGAGAGATTTTCAGTGCAACAGTGCTGTGTACTTAAAAATTTGTTAATTTTTTAAGCACTCATATGAAGTGCTCTTACCCAGTAGCGTAAGATTTTCGGCTATAAAGAGAGAGCAGTGTTAACTATCTGGGGCATTCCTTTTGAAGTTAAAGAGGATGGAGAGAGCTCTGGAAACCCCGAGCCCAGGCCTTTTGTTTAACACAATCATCTTGCTGACTCGAGAGCCGTCCCTGGAAATCACCACAGTGCCGCACTCGCTACAGTACAGAAAGCCAGAGGGTTATCGGACTGTTCACCGAGCAGCCTGCGTATGATAGAATCCGCACCGCCACTTCCTCACCTGATCTAGCACAACCCCGAGGTGGGTTAGTTATTTCCATTTTACAGATGAGCACACTGAGGTCAGAGAGGCGATGGCAATGGCCAGAGCCAGGATCAGGCGCTGGATCTGTCTGACCTTCCGTATCACCCTCGGCCAGTAAGACGTGTTCTCCTCTCCTCCCGGCACCGACCAGCCCCCTCTGCCCGCGGGGCCAGCATCCCACCCAGGACAGAGCGTTTTCCTGGGAAGGTGGTGGTTCGCTGACCAACCACAAGACAGAAGCACGATTCTTTCCCTGCCCCGGGTCATGTTTTTCTGTCGGCCTGTCCTTCCAACATGGAAGGGGCACACCAAAGCGCTCAGTGCTGCCTTGCATTAGTGACTTGGCCTATTTTATGGTTTGGGGGTTTGGTTTGGCTTTTACTTCCTAGGAATTGCTCAAAACCAAAAGAGAACTTGGCGCCATTGGGAGGTTTCCGCGGGCCTCGCTGTGCCATTCAGGGCCTCCGCCTGTTTCAGCCTGGAGCACCCTGGGAGGACCCCTCTGGGCGGCGACCCTGGCCACCTCAGGGCCCACCCAGCTGGCCCCAAACAGGGCCGCATGACCACATCCAGGCCTCTTCCCCATGTCGTTTATCCAGTCAATTCTTTCGGCCGGTTATCAGGGTCTCCCCAGCAGTGTCTGGACATGTAGGGGAGGTGTGAGGAGCAGCCACATGTCCCTGCCCTCTGTGGACTTGGGGGAGGCGTCCTGGGCAGGTCACGAGAGCCTGCATTTCCCCGTCTCTAAGATGGGCCAGCCCTCCCAGGAGCTCATGAAGCAGCACAGGCGACCGCATTTCAGGGCCACCGAGTGCTGAGCCAACGTAAAGGATGTTGTTACTGCCGTCTGGGGGCAGCCGCACGATTTCTGCCCACGAAGCAGCCGGGACGCACCCCAGTCCAGCGTGTAATCAGCGCCTTCATTATGTGGCTCCGACTGCAAGGGCTGCCGGATTTCAGAGGACAGACACCCCCGGGGCCTGGGATGCAGCTCAACCTCAGCGGGAGAGCGAGCACAGGCTGCTCTGAGCCAGAAAGAGAGGGGCTCGGAAGCCGGAGGCGGTCAGAAGGGGGGCAGTTAGGAGGGGGGCGGGGGGGGGGCGCAGATAGGAGGGGGTCAGAAGGGGGGGGCAGGAAGGAGAAGGACAAAAGCTCTCTCCCTCTTGGGCTCTCCCCCACTGGCCTGGAAAAGCTGGGTGCCTGGGGGTTTGCTGCAGAACAGGAATCACTACGAAGTTAATAAAAAAAGTGAATGAGCCACACATACCGGCTCCACATCATTCACTCCAGGATTGAGTCGACAGTGACCAGGAAAGGCACCCCCCTAAAACACGTCCCCGCAGCTCACAGGTTTTCCCACTTGAGGTCTGGGGCAGATCACACATGGAGGTAGGAGGGGCTTAAATTCAGAGCCTGACTCAGAGGTCATATGGGGTCAGCAACCCAAAGTGTGATGTATCCATACAACGGAATAATGTTCAGCCTTGAAAAGAGGACATTCCAGCTGCGACAACGATGAGCCCGAGGACATGACCATGACTCAGTGAAACAGGCTGGTCGCCAGAGGACAAATACTGTAGGATCCCACTTCCTGAGGTTCCCAGAGTTGTCAGGTTTATACCCAGTGGGGTGGTGGGTGCCAGGGGCTGGGGGAGGGGAACGGAGAGTTGTTAAATGGGGACAGAGTTTCCGTTTTGCGAGATGAAAAGTGGTCTAAAGATGATGGTGGCGATGGCTGCATAATGTGAATGTATTTAAAAACTGGGAAAATAAATTGTAAAGGGTCAGGACACCCCTGGGTCCTGTAGAAGGTGCCACATTGGAGACCCCTCCATCTCTCCGTTGGTCCATCTTAGCCTAGTCGCAGGGTTGGAGAATCACTCTTCAGGGAGGGGATGGGAGGGGATGGGAGGGGAGGGGAGGGGAGGGGAGGGGAGCTCTTATAGGCTCATTATATAGAAAATACAGGCCTTGCCTTTTCCGACCCAGGCTCACACTGAGCATGGCAGAAAGGTACATGGGAGGTGCCAGGGACCGAGGCCTTCGGGGGGGGGGGGGGCAGGTCCCACCCCACTCCCGAGCACCAGCCGGTGGGGGGCATGGCTGGCAGAGACGCCTCTGCTGGTGAAATGTGTGCACACGCACAGGCGTGTCCCCACCCAGAAGTGTGTAATGAAGTGTGTGCATGAGACAACCCTGCTGCTCAGATCTGCGTCCTTGGGCCCCGGGCCAGAGGGGCCCTCGGTGGACATTTGTTGACCTGAGCTGTGGCTTCATCGTGGAGCCATGCCGGACTCCCATCCTTTCGTGATCGCGTGCTTCTCTCCCATTTGGCACAGCAATGTGCGGTGCTGGGCGCCAGGAAATTGACCCCTGAACCACTGAGTGAATGAAAACCCGTTGGGAGATAAACAGCACAGGAATGCCTGGTCCCGCCCTGTGCCCCCCCCTCCCCCCTCCTCGTCCTCCTTATGGCAGAGATGGCCGAGGCTCCCTTCACCGAGGAGCCGAGGTGGCAGAAGAGCAGGGACTTGGGCAGTGGGAGGTCCTGGGGGTTTCAACCTCATTAACCTGGGGCCTTCTAGCCTCTGCCTAACCCGCAAAACAGCCCCCCCCGCCCCCGACGTTAGCACTGTACACCCGGGAGCTGGGACGGACTCGCGGGCACGTCAGAAACAACCGGAATGGTCTCCGTGGGCAGCGAGCGGAGTCAAGTGTGATATCGTCTAAGCAGTGACACCCACCACCCAGGGGAGCTGGGGTGGGGGAAGAACAAGGTCATGGCGCGACGTTCACGGTTTATGGTTCTGTCTAAATATGTGCGCATTATGTGTGCAAACATGCCTGTAATGTGCATGTGCATACACGGGGTGGGGCAACAGTAGGGTTACAGTTGTTTGGATGGAACATAATATAATAATTAATAAATAATAATGGAAAAAAACGGAAAAAATAATAGAAGAATAAACTGTTTTGCGTGGTCACAACTGTAAACCCCCTTTGCCCTCACCCTGTACACCAGCAGCAGCAGCATCACCAGGGACCGTTGGAAATGCACATTCTCAGGCCCTGCCCCAGACTTGAATCAGGAAATCTGGGGGTGAAGCCCTCGCGATCTGTGCTTTAACGAGCACCCCCCTTCCTCGCGGCTTCTGCTGCCTGCCAAGGGGAGTCCCCCGGCCTAGAGCATGCCCGACACCCTCTCCTTCCTTCGCACTCACCCGTGTCTCCTCCCCAGGCCCTCATCCAGCTGCCCCCCTACATCTCCCAGTGTGACGAGGTGCTGCAGTTCTTTGAGACGAGACCCGAGGACCTGAATCCCCCCAAAGAGTAAGTTGGTTTGGGGACCTCCCGGCGTGTGCCCAGCCGGCCCCAGGCGGAACCGGAGGAGAGCAAAGGAGAAATCAGACTGCTCCTGTGGCTTGAGCCCCCACGGGGCCTCACTTCGCGCAGCCGTCACTCGCACCCAGTGGGCAGTGACAGTCAGGGTTCACGCGGAGGAAGCCGGCTGCGGGCACCTGGGCCCCTAACTCCTCCCTCCCTTTCTGCCTCAGTTGCTTCATCTGTGCAATGAGGTCACGTCCCTGGCCCCACCCACATCATGGGGTGTTGGAGGCTGCAATGAGAGAATTGGGAATCCCTGAGCTTGGAGCTGACAACATGCTGACACCCCCACCCCGGCTGTCATGTTTGATAATTCCGCTTCCTGGCGGTGGAGTTTTATTCTGATGGTTTTCAGGAGAGTCCACGTCCTCACTTCCTACGTGGGAATAACAGTAATACGAACTTCACAGGGTCACAGTGAGGCTTGGGTATGTGTGTGTGAAGTCCTCGGCACAGGGCCTGGCACACAGCCAGATTCCGCAGCTCCTGGGCTGGCGGGACAGCTCCTCCCTGTCACCCTGAGGGAGATGTGCTGCGTTCACTGCTATCCAGGCTGCTACCCCGTCTCAGCATGTTCTGCTGCCACTTACCACCGAGGCTTTCCCTCCGCGTCTACGTCTCGGGGCCCGAGCCCGGGGCAGGGCCTCTGTGCCTGGCCAGGTGGCCACCGGCTCGGGGCAAGGGGAGGCCTGGCTACTGTTTTCAGACTGAGTCCCCTCCACCCATCAGCTCCTCCCCAGGGCGCGGAGCACTTCTCCAAGAAAGGGAGAAAATGAAGAGGAATCCATTCTTTTTTTTTCTTTTTTCTTTTTTTTTTTTTTTTTTAAGGAATCTGGGTCCCTGGGGCTGGCTTAAATGTTATTCATTGCCTGGAGATATTGTAAGATGGAGAATCTCAGTTTTCTAATAGACTAACTTATGTCAATACACAACAGGTGCTGACTCTCTTTCCCATCCCCATTCTTTCCTGTACAGGGAGCATGTTGGGAAAAAGAAATCTGGTAAGAATATTTTCCATTTTCTCCTATTCATTCCACGTTCACCCTACTGAGCACCTGTGATGTGTGTGCCAGGCCCTGGGCTCCACATTGGGGATGCGGCCATATCGATGGATGGATGGATGCTGGATGGATGGATGGATGGATGGATGCACTCCACATGGGGGATGTGGCCATATTGATGGATGGATGGATGGATGCCTTCCACATGGGGGATGCGGCCATATCGATGGATGGATGGATGGATGGATGCTGGATGGATGGATGGATGTTAGATGGGTGGTTGGATACTTGATTGCTTGATTGATTGTTTGATACCACATACTGTTTCTCCTCCCCCCTCCCCCCCCAAAAAATGATTGGAGGGTGTTTCATCTTTTGGGGTTTTTTTATTTATTTATTTTTATTGATTTTAGACAGGAGAGAGAGAGAAACATTGATGTGAGAGAGAAATGTCGACTGGCTGTCTCCTACCCGCCCCCTACTGGGGATTGAACCTATAACCCAGGCATCAAACCGGGACTCGACCCAGCGAACTTTTGGTGCATGGAACGATGCTCAATCAACTGAGCCACACCAGCCAGAGTGGCTTCATCTTATACAAAAAAATTACTAAGTGGATGAGACCTATCTTTCCCAGAGAACACCTTGGAGGGGTAGGGGAGACAGCTTCTAATATTCTGTAGTGTGTTAACTGCCCCAAAACTGCACAGGCCCAGCCACACCACACCTGGGCCAGCGTGTTCTTCAGAGCTCCCAGAATCCTAAGTTATTTTATTTGAGACTCCAGGAAGCTTGAGGAGGTTGATAAAAATGGGGAAGGGGCCCTAACTGGATTGGCTCGGTGGATAAGAGTGTCAGCCTGCAGACTGAGGGGTCCCAGGTTCGATTCTGGTCAAAGGCATGTACCTTGATTGTGGGCACATCCCCAGTGAGGGGTGTGCAGGAGGCAGCTGATCAATGTTTCTAACTCTCTGTCCCTCTCCCTTCTTCTCTGTGAAAAATCAATAAAATATATATATTTTTTTTAAATGGGGGAAGGGGGCCCAGCAGAGGTCCTAGAAGTAAAAAAGGATGCCTCCTTCCATGGGCCTCAGTTTCCTCATCTGAAAAATGGGTTTAATAATATTCATCTACCTAATAGGATTATCATATTCTAATAACACATCTAAAGCACTCAGAACAGTGCCCGGCATGTGGTAGCTGACACGTGTTTGCTGCTGCCTTTATTCTGCTGCTATTAATTCAGAGTCCAAGGGTGTCCTTCAGAGCAGCATCAGTAGCAATTTCAACAGCTCTGGCCCCGGTGCAGGCCCCGACGCCGTTCTTGCCAGGGAGAGTGGAGAGGGGTGTTCTCGTTGCCTCGAGGTCTGGCTGTGGCATGAACTCTGGCCTCTTCCCCCGCAGCCTGTTTACCGCTCCTGTCTGCTTTAATAGGTACTGGCCAGCCCGTGGCATCTGCTCCGGCTGCAAATAGCCCCAGAGCCTGAGGGTAATGACATGTTTCCTAGACAAGAGCGGAGCGGCCGCTCTCGGGCGGGTCACAGAGTTCCTGGCTCCCAGTGTGCAGACCTTTCCTGGGAGGGCGGGCGGGCGGGCGGGCGGCGGCAGAGAGGAGAGACAGCGCTGGCCTGTGGAAACAGAAGTGTCCCGTCAGGCGGGCCTGATGAGGGGACTGGTCTGGAAGTCGGAGAAGAAGCTCTAATTTGCGGCAGCCGCTGCCACATCACCCCCCTGCAGTGACGGGGCCGGGTTATTTATGGTCCCGCCGGGTGGGAAGAGCATCTTTCTCCCTTCAGACAAAGAACCCATGCTGGCTTAGCCTTGTTTTCCGGCTGACCTTTCTGTTAGACCCAGCCTTCTTGCTGCAATTTGAAAGGGACTGAAGATTGACAGCCAGGCTCTGAGATTTCTGGGCCTGAACTGAGCTGGAGAAGGCTTACCTGTCTCCAGAATTTCCCAGGCCCTGGCTGGCTTGGCCGGCTCCTGCAGACTTTGGCTCATGTGGTCTCCATTTCTGCTCATCCTGCAAAAAAAATCCTCCACCAACATGTAACAGGTCGTGTGATTGTCTAAGGAGCATCTTTCTTCCTGATTTTTCTACCCTCTTCTTACTTATTTTATTTTTATTTTTTTGGTTAAACCTCACCCAGGGATATTTTTTTCATTGATTTTTAGAGAGAGTGGAAGGGAGGGGGAAAGACAGAGAGAAAGAAATATTGATGTGAGAGAGAGATATATCAATTCGTTGTGTCCCACATGAGCCTGACCTGAGCTGGGGATTGAGCCTGCAGCTGAGGTACATGCCCTTGACCAGAATCGAACCCGGGACCCTTCAGTCCCCAGGCCAACGCTATCCACTGAGCAGAACCGGCTGGGGCTCTACCCTCTCCTTACTGAGGTATTCTCTCATTTACCGACGTGGAGCAAGACTGGCAGTGTTATGTTGTAGTTCTGGAAAGAACATTCTGCTCTGCTGTTTATTGCTCATTGTATTGGTGTGCTGGGGCCTCTTAGAGAGCAGAAACTTACCCTCTCACAGATGTGAAGGGTATGGATGGGGTCTGGAGAGAGGCCTCTTAGAGGGAAGCCTGCTGCCTTCTCGCTGTGTCCTCACACGTAGAGACGGAGAACACGCTCCCTGGTCTCTTCTTACAAGGGCACAAACCCCAGCATGAGGTCATGACCTCATTTAACCTAATTACCTCCTGTACCATCAGATAGACCTTCAATGGGTGGCTTTGGAGGGGTGCAGTTTTATCCACAGCGGTTATTTTTAAATTTCAAAACATGTCACCTTGAATCAAAGCATGGCCAACGAGGCCCAGCCAGTGTGGCTCAGTGGTTGAGTGTCAACCTGTGAACCAGGAGACCACGGTTCGATTCCCGGTCAGGGCACAGGCCCGGGTTGCGGGCTCGATCCCCAGTGTGGGACGTGCAGGAGGCAGCCAATTGATGATTCTCTCTCATCATTGATGTTTCTCTCTCCCTCCCCCTCTCTGAAATCAATAAAAATATATTTAAAAACAAAACAAAAACATGGCCAACTAGGAAATTCTGTGGTAGATGAGGCATCTGCCTCTTGAGAATATTTCATACACTTCCTCGATGATAAAATCGCCCTTCCTCTGTGGAATCTCCTCCTCTCTGCTAACCTCTTCCTTCTCTCCTGTGTCCTGTGGGACCACAAGAATGACAAGGCTTACCTAGGAATACTTGCTCTCACACTTGCAGCTCCTAGGACTTACGCCCTTACTGTGCGTCATAGAGCTTGGCTGCAGTCTCGCAGTCCACCAGCAGGTGTCTCTGCACAACACCTAAATGGCCTGGAGCCTCGTTTGAGAAGCTGGTATGTCAAATCCGGGTGTGCCTGGTTTTGATAGGTTGAGCGCTGAGCGCTGTGGGTGAAATGCAGGCAGCAGCTCTGGGAGAGCTGGTGTAGAAAAAGCAGCCCCATGCACCCTCGTCTGAGCCACTCATTGGCAGGGAACCACTCTCTTGTTCACAGTGAGTCCCGTAATTCCCCGATTTTGTCACTGCTTGTAGTTATGCCAGATCCCGTTGGCAGCCCAGTTAGGAGAGTTGGTGCAGAATGGAGAGTTTCTAGAATTTTCCATTTGCCCTTTGTCCATTCACTTCACAAATGTCCATTGAATATGTCTGTGCTAAGTGCTGAGTGAACAAGACGACCATGGTTATTCATTCCACTAGAGGCCCAGTGCACGAATTCATGCACATGTGCAGTCCCTAGGCCTGGCCAGCGATCAAAGCGCGAGTGTCTAGCATGGAAGGGCAGGTCCCAGCTGACCTCTGGGCCCTAGGCAGCACCAGGGCCCCCTGGCCCCCACGCATCCCCCTCTGCCTGAGTCACAGCGCCCGAGTCCCCATGTGGAGATGCAGTGAGCACAGCTGGATGCCGTGGGCCTCTGGGCTGCCCAGCAGCGCCACACGTAAGCCGGGCGGGCAGTGCGGTCTCTCCCAGCCGGCCTTGAAAACCAGCTCCTGCACAAACCCATGGGGAGCCTGACCGGTCCCTGCAGTCCTGGCGGCTATGGCTTGGCTCACCTGGAAGCCTATTGGGGCCGGCAGCACCTCCACTTCCTACCGCTGCCAGTGCCTCATCACCTACACCCGCCATGTTCCACGCCGCCCCCTGGTGGTCAGCGCTGGTCATGGCGAGCAGTCAAACTCCTGGTCGAGGGGACAATTTGCTTATTAGGCTTTTATTATATAGGATGTTTATTAAGCACCTACTGTGTGCCTGAAGGTACTCTAGGTCCCCGGGGAATATGAAGGTGAACAAGATGTGGGAAGTTCTCTCCCACCCTGTAGGACAGAGAGCGGTGACCCTTCACCGGGCTAGCATGCCCTGCCCTGGTTTTCCACGTCAAGAATCCGCGGTGCCTGGCTCTAACAAAGGGCTTTTGTGCTGCTCTGGGCGCCCGGGGCTGGAGCGCAGGGGCGTGCTGGGAACGACTTCACAAGCAGCTTTCTGTGGTCACCCCTGCTTTGTAGCGTTTGCCAGCTCCGTGGTACAAATGCTCCCACCGTGGCCCGTTTCAAGCGACCAACAGGATGCCACCCGAGAGAGTTGGGAAGAGGAGCACGAAATCGGCTCGGTGTGAGCCAGCCCTCACACACATACCCCCCGCCCCCTCCACTACTGGGAGTGTTTGGAACAGAACTGTGGGGTTTCCTGGATGTTCCTGTTGTTTATGGAAACAATAGGAGGGAATGTTTTGAATCAGAATGTGCAGGCCATGAGGGTCCGGCGGCACAAATGTCACGCTGCCCTCCCACCACGTCCAGCCTGCTGCTCTAAAAGTGCTGTCCCCTTCTCTCGGGAGCGTCTGAACTCGTCTGATCTTTTACATCCCTCGTATTCTGTGGCCTCTTTCCATTTATTTATCCGCTTGTCTTAGACCTTAAGCAGGGCTGCCCAGCTCACCATCCACTGAGCCAAACCGGCGAGGACTGGTCTGCTTTCTTCTTTGCCAGCCTCTAACCCATTCTCCATGAGGCAGCCAATGTGATCTTTTTAAAGATGCAGATCTTCACGTGTTACTCCCTTCTTAAGTCCCTTTCGAGGTTCTACTTCACGGGTTTTAAAAAAAAGTGTTTTGAGGTCCTCAGTTCTGGGCGTCAGCCACCCTGGCCTCCCTCCCGGTCCTAGAAGGCTCCAGGCCTCCTCCCACCTCCCGGTCGGCCTGCACCGTTCTTTCCCCATTGTCCTCCTGGCTCTGCTTTAGGTTGCTTCCCGGGGAGGTCTTGCTGACCATCCCATTAACGTAGCATCCCCTGTCTTGTTTGTTCTGTTTCCAGAAATGCATGTATCCAAAAGGAATACTTTCTTCCTATATGCTTATGGATCACATGTACTGAATATGTGTCTCTCGCCCCAACTAGGATGCTGGGAGCCACATCTGTTTCATCCACTTTAGCACCCCCAACCAGCACCTAATAGAGTGTCTGGAATGTCATTGGTGATTTCATGTATTAATAAATGAGTAAATTTGGATGGCTTACTGGTTGGTGAATGTATGGGTAAATGAGTGGATGGATGATCGATGGATATATGTTTGGTTAGATGAATGACAGATGGGTGAATAGTGGCTGATGCTGGATGGGTATCTATGAATGAATGAACTTTCCCACTAGGCTGTCTGCTTCTTCAGGGCAAGTACCATATCTTACTCTGAACCTCCAGTGCCTAGCACAGTGCCTGCACAGGACAGGCACGTGATAAATTGTGCTGGTCGAGTGAGCAAATGAATAAAAGAATGAATGGATGAGACCGTTCCTCTAGCAGCTTCTCTCTCTATTTAGAATGCCCTCCTGACCTCCCCTCCTCCCCGGCTCCTGCTCCTTTACACCGAGCGGTGGCCAGATGTGACAGCTGATGGTGTTTTCCATCCACAGGGAGCGACCCGACCTCGGTGGACCCCATGGTCCTGGAGCAGTACGTGGTGGTGGCCGACTACCAGAAGCAGGAGAGCTCGGAGATCAGCCTCAGCGTGGGCCAGGTGGTGGACATCATCGAGAAGAATGAGTCAGGTGGGCAACCCAGACCACCTCCTTCCCCGCCCAACACTCTCACCAAGCCCCTCGGTCAGGAACACGGGGCAGCGCAGCAACGGCCGTCGCCGATCAGGCTGGTCCGTTTCCGCAGGTCCGGCGGGTGACCCCTGTTTGGTCCGAGTGCTCAGATCTCCTGCTTGGTCCCAACCCACCAAGCATCCTGTTGGGTCAGATGTTACCGACTGGCTTTGAGGTTCACATTTCATGAACGTTCTTCTGGCTTCAGAGCACCTGGAGACACAGAGTAGCATTCCCCTGAGAATTTGCCCTGTTGATTTTCTTTGATGACTATGGGCGTCTCCAGCTGTGGGCTCTGGTGTGGACTGTTCATACCGCCTGTCTCCCCCGTGCACCTGCCCCTCGCAGCGACCACTGGTCATGTGCACTGGCCACTGGTCATGTGCACTGGCCAGGTCCGGGACAGATGGGGTACGATTGAGACACTTGGCCTGGGCCTCCACCTGAAGTCTGCATTTCACAGCAGTCCAGGTGGCTGCTTCCCTCTCACCACCAATTCTCTCATCTGTAAAGAGAAAAATGAGATAATATATGGAGCGTGTCTGAGCCTGTGTTGGGCACACAGTAGGTACTTAAAAATGTGAGCTTCCTTCCCTTTTGCCTCCCTTAGCCACAAAGCAGCCATTGGCACCGTTAAAGGCAAAGAGTGGGGAGCAGGAGGCGAGTGGATCCTCTCTAGGAAAAAGTGACATAAATCTCCTGGCTTTGTTGTGACTAAAATGTGACATTGGCTATAATATCAACAGCAGACCAGTCTCTGTGATACCCCGATGGCTAGTTAAAGTCCAAAAAATAATGGAAAGGCTCTGCTTCTAGCAGCATGTGGATTCCATTCCCATTCGCCATGAGGTCCGGGTTAGCCAACCAAAAGTTCTTAATTATTCAATCTCACGATTGTGACCCCTGCCTCACAGCTGAAGGGACAGAGTCCAAGTGACTTGGTCGCTCACCCAAAACCTCCCGACAGGATTCAGAGCTGGAATTCCCATCCAGTGCCAGCTGGCCACAGGCCATGTGGCTTTCTCGATCCTGGGAATGAGTTTATGCAGATTATCGGTGTGGCTGGGGTGCTCCTGGGGACCAAGGAACGGCACACCCACTCCCCCGGGCCACCTGCTTGAGTGAAGTCAGAACAAAGGCATTGCAGGAGAAGAGTGGGGGCCGGGATGGGGTTGGAGACAAGCCTGGTGTGTCCAGAGGGCAGCGGAAGGGGGGAAAGGCAGGTAGTCAAATCTTCAAGTAAGATTTATTACTTATCCAAGTGGTACATGGATACATTCTTCTTGAAGCATTCATGACAAAGTGAAAGCCTATTTTTCCCACCAGCTTCAAACCCCAGAGAGCCCTTCTATCGGGTTGGTATGAATTCTTCTATGATCATTGTATGCACACAGCGCACGTATGTGTGCCTGTGTGCGTGCGTAAGGTCACACCTTCGCCATACTGCGTGTGTGGTTCTACACCCCCGCAGTAAAGCAAATACCTCAAATATCACAGTAAAGCGAATCGCACAAATTGGTTTCCCAAGGCACGTGAAAGTTACGTTGACACTATAGTCAATAGATAACATTATGCCTTAAAAATGTACACACCTCGATTTAAAAATCATCTATTGCTAGAAAATGCTAACCATCACCTGAGCCTTCAGCGAGCACGTAATATTTTTGCTGGTGGAGGGTCTTCCCCTTCAATTTGTAAAAAAAAATGCACTGTCTGCAAAGTGCAATAAAGTGAAGCGTACAGCGAGGTGTGCCTCTGTGTGTGGGGGGGTGTGTAAGTGGCAGCCCTTCCTCCATCCTCCCAGCTAGCAGTGTGGTGCCTCTTCCGTAGCCATGGCTCCCCCTGCCTCCTCTGCCTCCCTCTTCCATAGTTCCCGGCCCTGGCGATGACATGGGCCACCCAGATAATCCAGGACCGTCTCCCTGTTTGAAGGTCATCTGATTAGCAACTTTAATCCCATCTGCAACCTTTCACATAGTCACAGGTTCCGGGGATTATGTGGGTTATCTCCGGTGGGTCGTAATTCCGCCCACCACTAGCTCCCTGAGACTTTTCTCTGAAGAGGGAGGGCCTGGGTCTGGGGGAGCAGCCTCTCAAGCAGTTACACCTGCAGCCCCTTGACCTTGACATGAACAGATAGACAGCCCGGAGAGTTACGAGGGCAGTGGCGTCAGCATCAGACAGCCCGCTGCACAGTGCAGCCCTGCCATCGCCGGGAGAACTTGGGCAAGTCTGTTCGCCTCTTGGAGCCTCGGTTTCCTCCTCTAAGCAGTGAGGACGATCACGTGACGATGCTGGAAGACGATGCAAGTACAGTGACTCGTACCCGGCACACCTTAGTGAGGGACTCCCACCATTCAGGACGGCCTGGCTCTCCCTGTCCCCTCCCCAGCAGTCAGTTGACACGGCTAGCTGTGTTTCACCAATAGGACGGCGCCTGTCGGCCTTAGCCTGAGTGTGACGCACACAGTGCCTGAATGTGTCATTCTACGCCGACGCCCAGACCTCACACCTGACCCCCTAACGTCCATCTGCTCTCGTCTTCACAGGTTGGTGGTTCGTCAGCACCGCTGAAGAGCAAGGCTGGGTGCCCGCCACCTGCCTCGAAGGGCAGGACGGTGGGCAGGACGAGTTTTCCTTGGAGCCCGAGGAAGGTAAGGGGAGCCCTGTGCTGGCCGTCACCACGTGGGGCCGCTGCCCCCAGAACCTTCTCTTCACACCTGCCTCCGAGAGGGCACCTAGCAAGCCCGCCCTTCCTCGGGGCCTTAGGGAGCTGGGCCCTGACCCCTCCGTGGAACCCCGGGAGGCCCCAGCCTGGTTGCTGTCAACAGGGTCACTTTTCCTCCCTGGAATGATCCTGGCGGCCAAGGTCCTCAGGCTGCTTCCAGCTCATCTGCAGGCCGTCTGAGGCCGTCTGCAAAGGGCTCTGCTTTCTCCGCTGGCATAACAGCCCTGACTGGGCGTCGGGGTTAGGGCAGACCGCCTTCACTCACCCACACACGCTTCCATTTCCCGGAGAACTTTCCCCACGGGTGTCCCGAAGTGTGGCTCCTGCCGTGTCAGAAATGCTGAGGCCCCCTGACTCCCTTCCCCCCGAAAACATTTCTAAAACGAGAGGATGCGTGCATCTTAGCTGATAGACAGAGGATGGGAGGGTCGGACAGACCGGAATTCGAACCCCAGCTGCTCCACTAACTGACTGAGGGGACGGGGCCAGCAACCTAACCTCTGCCGCTCAGCCACCTCCTCCAACAACGGGAGTGATGTCCCCGTCATGAGGTTTTTTGGTTTTTTTATTATTAAATGAGACCCATATGCAAAGCCCTTGACAAAGAGCCTCAACCAATAATAAAAAACGAGGACCCGTTGTTATCATCTAGCTATGCCTTGCCTTAGGGCCGAACACTTGGGGCTTAGTTGACTGTTTTGAGAAGCGCAGCCTCTTCAGTGTACACTTGCCAGAACACAGGGTGAGGAGAAGCGGCATATTTCTGTGCTCAAAGGTGAGCAACAAGAATTACATGTAGCAACAACAGCCCACAGCCGTCAGAGTAAAATTAAAATGTCTGTTGGATTGCCCTGTGTTTGTGGGCCCGGGAGGCACTGGGGACCAGGCTAGCCTGGGAACACTGCAGAATCAGCCCAGGCTCGGGGGCAGTGGTGCCCTGCGTGGAAATTCCAGCTCCCGTACACAGTGATGATGGCCACACGGCAAGCGTCTGCCAGGGGCTGGTCGTTATCCCATTTCACAGATGGAAAAACAGGCTCAGAAAGGTGGAAACGCCTGCCTGGGGTCACACAGCTAGTAAGAGGGAGAGAGAGGCCACATTTTCCCAAGGATTTGTACCTTGTTCTTCCCTCTGCCATCAGGACCTCTCTTCGGGCCTCGTTGTAATCATGCCAGGGATAGAATTATGTCTACTGGGCGCCTCTTCACTCAGCTGTAGGGTTAATACTCAGGACCGTGGGCCTTTGGCGACACCTGGGCTGGCGTGGACTCAGAAATCAGTGTTCTTAAATGGGAAGGCGCGCTTGGTGGCCTTTCTGCCTGGAGACACTGGGAGTGCTGTCTTCTCACCTCTGCCTTCTGCCCTTCACCTCCACATGCTGCCCATCCAGTCTCGTGGAGGTACTGGTCTTTGCCCCGGCCCATGGGCCGCCGCCGGACCCTGGGGGACTTGTATGCCATCAGCTGGCGTCAAGGTTGTCTACATCGGTGTTTTCTTCCCCGTTCGGGGTTGGGAGCCGGGTCCTTGCGTCTGCATGCACCTCCTGCTCTGGGCGGCCTGTGCCTGCTGCATGTGAGAAAGGGATCGTGTCTGTGCCATGTGTGTGTTGGCATGCAGGTTTGGGAGGAGGGAGCCTGGGGCTTAAAGTTTCCCGGGTTAAGAAAGGATGTCTGGGGCCTTCTACGATGCTGAGCTGTTCCTTTCCTCAGGCACATTTGAGTGCGAGGAAAAGAAATCCACGTCACACTGGCTTAAACTAAAAGGAAAGTATATTGACTTGTCGCTGAAAAGCCCAGGGTAGGGCTAGCTTCAGGCATGGCTGGATCCAGGGGCTGGAAAACATCCTGGGGTGCCGAGACTCACTCTTGCCACCTCTCTGCTCTGCTCTCTACCTGGCTGAAGCCATTCTCTCACGGCGAGCGTGGTTCCAGGCACCCTCCAGGGACACCCACCGAAGAAGGTGCTTCTCCTTCAACACTAACCCAGGGAGGGTTCCATCTGGTCCACGTGGGTCATACACCGTCCTTGTATCAGTCACAGTGGTCAGGGGATGCCAGGCCAGGGTCACACCCTCCTCTCCCTCCAGGAGGTGGCGCAGTCAGCTCACCCAAACCCTGTGGATGGAGTTGGTAGGAAGGGTGGGTGGGTGCCAAGCAGCAGTGCCACCGGGCGCCACCATTCAGTCTCGAAGGTCTACCTTAAGCTTTGTCAGGGCTCACTGAGTGTCCCATGGGGCCCACGGAGGCTCTGGGGGCTAGAGAACCCCCGTGTGCGATTCAGCTCACTCTGGGTGCCGGCCCCTGGAGTCCAGGGCCCGCAGGACTAACTGCACTGAGTCTGGGACCCAACCAAGCAGGAGGTCTGTGCACAGACAGGGTCGAGTTACCCCGCCCCCACCCGCAGCCGCCCGCCCTGAGAGAGGGGAACAGCTGACTCTGCTGTGCACAGGATATGTGCAACTCGAGTCAGCCAGCCCCGTGGAGCAGGTCAGTGGGCCAGATCAATAAATAAATAAACGCCCTGTGCGTCTTCCGCCTCCCTCTGCACCAGCTGGGCAGGCCCCAGGCCGACCGCGGTGTTTTCCCAAAGGCAGAGTCAGCGCCCACGCTAACCGTCCCCACCAGCCCACAGCTGGCTCGCCACTCCCCGGGGGCCGGGATGTAACCAAGACCGGAAAGCCCTCTCCTCGGGGCTCCCCTGGCGCTCAGCTGTCGCCTGGCTCAGCAGCCATCTGAGCCGTGGCCCACAGTGTTGGGGACGGAAGCTATTCTCTTGCTCTCTGGAGGGCCTGCCCGAGTGTGACAAAAGCAACTCTTGGGGGGGTGGGGGCACGAGGAGGGGAGAGGGAGGGGACCCCCAAGGATGGTCCCTTGCTTTGGGGGAGGGAGCAGGAAACCACCAGAGAGTGGGGTGGAAGGCGCCCCAGTCATAGTAATGAAAGTTGAAGCAGGCAGTCATTTCTCGAGATATGTGTGTCCGTAGGTCTAGATCTGATCATTGTGATGTACACCTGAAACTAACAGTGTTAGATGTCAATTATATCTTAATAAAAATATGAATTTAAAAAGTGAAATTGAACTTCAGGCATGGTCGGTTTCGGAGGCTGAACAGAATGAATAGGAAATGAAGATCAGTTCCCAGCTTGGTAATGAAAATTACTGGCCGTCTCCTTGGTAGTGATCTCAGCCTGAGATCAGGAGCTGCCAGATCTGCCCACCCCTGACCCTTCGCGGCGAGAACTGCGGAGGAGCCACAGGCGGTTTGACCCCCTCTGGCGTGAGCAGGTGGCTCCCGCCAGGCCTCCGGGACCCGTTCACCTACTAACCAGTTACTAAGTGTTCCTGGTGTCAGACTCAGTGTTGGGAGACAGAGGAATGAGCAAGACAGACACACGATCACTGCCTTCAAGGGCATTCGTATTCTAGCAGGGCAGACAGACCCAAAACACAATAAAGGAGTAAGTTTATGGTTAGAACGGAATTCCTTGTATGGGGGGAAACAGACCTGGGTAAGAGGGAAGAGGATGCAGTGGGTCTGAATATTGCATGAGGCAAGGTCATGGGAGGTGACCTTGGAGCGCAGATTTGAAGAAGGCGAGAGGCATGTGTGACGCTAAGGGATTTGGACCTGCCCTTGGTCCTGGGTCCTGTGGCTGCATGTACAGGGTCATCTGGGGCTAAGTGAGGGCCTGGGGATGCACAGTAATCTCTGGAGGAAATCTTTCCCCCTGATGGGCAAGGACATCTCACGGATCACAGCCTTGACCTTCAGTGTCCTTGACTTGCCCCATCATCCCTTTGTCCCCGCAGAGGAGAAGTACTCAGTCATCTACCCGTACACGGCGCGCGACCAGGATGAAATGAACCTGGAGAGAGGGGCCGTGGTGGAGGTCATTCAGAAAAACCTGGAAGGCTGGTGGAAGATCAGGTACCCACTGCGGCTGGGTGGGCTCCAGGTCACGTGGGCTCCAGCTGCACAGAGGCCTGGGAACCGGTGCAGATGGGGTGAGGTTTTGGCCTGAGCCATGAAAGGATGTTTCTCCTCTGTGCTGTTTGGCCTCCCTCCCTCCTCCAATCCTTCTCTAAAAACTCATCATAAGCAAAACCTTCTCCAAGTAGAACGAACCGCAGAGAGCAATAGCCCTGTTGAGCAAGACCGGTCTCCACCTCCAGCTGTTCCTCTTCACAAGTAACGGGAGGCTGAGCCGCCGTGTGTGGGATTTCCCCTTCAGCCCCACACGGACGGAAACGCATCCTAGAGCCCATCGTTGGCCCTCATCTCTGAGTCCAGGATGGGAGGCATTGCAAACACATCGTCCCAGCTCCTTCGCCAGTGTGACAACGTCAGAACCCATGGGCGGGGAGAGTGGCCAGCGTGTGCTGAGCTGCCTGGTACTTTCCCGGGTTTGGTAATGAGTCCTGGGAACCCCCTCCTTGCTCACCCTAGAAGCCAGGCTGTGACCACAGGAAATATGGACCAGAGAGGAAGTCTGAGGTCCCTGTGACCCCGCGTCTGTGCTGGGATGTGAGGCGGGACATTAGGGCTGCTCACGTGGGGCTGAGTGTGGGGCACTTTCTTCATTCATTCCACGAACACACACCAAGAATCTGTTCTGGGCCAAGCACCGTTCTGGGCGTTGGGGAGTCGGCAATGAGAACGACACTGTACTTCCCACCAGCAGGTGCGGGGGTGGAGGGGGCAGACGCAGGCCAGGGTGGTGCAGGTGTGCTGGAGAGACGCACGGGGGAGTGTGGAGCACAGAACAAGGGCTTCCTGGGGGAGGGAAACCTCGGAACTGAGGTCTGGGGCAGTAATGGCCGCGGTATGGAACATCTTGAGTGTATATGCGCTCTGACTGCATGACAAATAGTCCCAACACCCGGTAGCTCTGGAATTCAGGGATGGCTGGCTGGCTCCGGGTCCTTCCTGAGGCTGCCGCAGGATGCCAGCACAGGCTGCGGTCATCTGAAGGTTTCACCGAAGCTAGAAAGGGACAGTCGGGATTTGAACCCGTACCTCCCTCGCCCCAGAGCCCACTTGCCACTGCATGTGTTGCCTCTCCGCTGTGGCTTGGTGCCCTCAAATGAACCGCCTCGTGCTGAGGGTGAGGACTGTATGTAGCGTGACATTTTCCAGCTCAGACAGGAATTATTCCTGCTCAAAGGGAAGGGATTTTAAAATTGGCGGACACCCAGCTCTGCAGGTTTCTATGTCCTTACAAATGTGCTTTCAGTCATAAAGGACCTTTTTTCATTGAAACATAGTTCTGTTTCGTTCTTACAGTAATTTTGTCGTTGTTGTTGTTAATCCTCACCCGAGGATATTTTTTCATTGATTTTTTTAGAGAGATTGGAAGGGAGAGGGAGACACAGAAACATCGATGTGAGAGAGACACATCAATTGGTTGCCTCCTGCATGCACTCCGACCAGGGCCATGAAACCTGCAACCAAGGTTTGTGCCCTTGACCGGAATCGAACCTGGGACCCTTCAGTCCGCAGGCTGACAGTCTATCCACTGAGCCATACTGGCTAGGGCCTTACTGTAATTCTTTTTTTTTATATATATAGTAATTCTTGATAAGATACTTGGCCCTGTCATCTATCATTGCTGGTCAGTTAGGTGTGTTAATTCCCCCAAAGGTGTGGGCACCTAATTTCCACTGACCAGACCAGTGCGTGCAGGGAGATGTTTAACAATCGGCTCTCCAAGGAGAAAGTGCTCTTGAGTTGTATGCTGATTTCCGTAGTATAAATACTCCCACCGTGGTCCGTTTCAAGCACCCAGTGTGATGTCACTGAACGTGGAGTTCAGAGGAGACGGGCACAGGTGACCTTGTGGTCCAGACCAACCAACCCCTTGGGTCCTGCCATTAAACTGAGTTCCACGCAGAGAATTAAGTGATTCTGAAGAGAAATCTGTGAGCTGGTCTGTCAGGGTCTCCGTCGCTCTGCAGTCCAGTGACACCCAGCCGACCCCTGGTGACCCGGAACCAGCCCCCACTTGCTTCATCCCCCTGGGAATGCGGGAATGCATGTGCTCCCGGCGGGAACGGAGCCCGCCCTCCCTGGGCCCGGAGCTGGAGCTGCTGGAAGAGGCCGCAGAGCATGGAAGTTAGGGGCACGGCCAGGTGCCGGCCGCCCAGGTCTGAGAGCCTGTCGGCCACCTCCCAGCATCGGCTGGACGAGATCCATCGACAGCTCTGAAGTACACAGAACAGGACAGTCAGTGCCTCTGACTCCCAGTTATCATTATTGTTATTGCTGTCACCACAGTGATGGCTGTGAGGGGACAGCCACATAGTGGAGGCCACTTCCCCTTGCCAAGCCCATTTGCAGTTTTTCCGTCTATTTATTCACCTCACTGGCACTGAGACCCTGGGCACACAGAGATGGATCCAACATCGCCCCGCCCAGAGCTCGCGTTCTAACTGGGAGACAGACCAAGTGCGGTTGTGTTATAGGCATTGGGATTGTGGTATGTGCAGGCCACTGGGCAGCGTGGCGGGAGGGAGGGAGGGCTTCGTTCTCCGTGAAGCTCAGGGAAGGCTTGGGAGAGGACATGGTGTGAAGCAGAGCTGGGAAAGAGGAGCAGGGAGGGGCGGGGGCAGGGGCTTTGCAGGCAGAGGGTCTCCAGGAGCGGGGGCACGGAGGTTGAAAGCGCGTTTGGGAGGCTGCAGGCCGAGTAGGGTGGGTGGGACATGGGGGTGGCTGTGAGAGAAGAGGCCAAGTTAGAAAGGCCTTGAATGCCGAGCTCTGAGGGCTTAGGCTTCGCCAGGGGGCAGCAAGCAGTGTGCCAGCCTCTGGCCCCGAGCACTTGTGCCCCTTCGTTCCTGCCATCTGGGCCGGAAATGTGATTCACAGTAGGCATGTGGCTTCTTCACATGCGCCTGGCAGAACAGCCTGACCAGCATCCTCCCTCCTCCTCCCAGGTACCAGGGCAAAGAGGGCTGGGCCCCGGCCTCGTACCTGAAGAAGAGCAGTGGGGAGCCCTTATCCCTGAAGCTGGGCCCCGGCTCCCCTGCCCACACGGGCATCCTTGACCTGGATGGAGTTTCTCGGCCGCAGAACTTGGGGGGCCGGGAGAAGGAGCCGCTCAGCAGCCAGCGGGACGGCCGCTGTGAAGGCCGCCCAGTGCCGGACGGCGACATCAAGCAGAGTGAGTGACGCCCACCGCATCCCGGAGGCTGGGGCCTAGCGGGCGAGGCTCTGGGCTCGGTGCTCCTCATGCACTGTCCCTCCTCCTGTAGATAAGAAAGCAGAGCCTCAGAAACCCCAGGGGACTTGTTCCAGATCATTCGGCCAGCAAGTTGCAGAACCGAGTGGAGAAACACCGCTTTCCTACTCCAGATCCTGTTTTTCCGCTGTTTCTCAAGCCCCTCCTGTGTGCCCGGGATCTGCCCATTAGTCTCATGGACTCCACATAGCCACCTTTGAGGGACTTCCTACTTTATTTTTTAAATAATTCTTTAAATACATTGTTATTGATTTCAGAGAGAGGAAGGGAGAGGGGAAGAGAAAGAGAAACATCAATGATGATCGATTGGCTTCGTCTTGCACGCCCCCTTCTGGGAATCAAGCCTGCAACCTGGGCATGTGCCCTAACCGGGAATTGAACCGTGACTTCCTGGTTCATGGGTCAATGCTCAACCACTGAGCAACCCCAGCCGGGCACTAACTTTTATTTTACAGATTAGAAAGCAGAGATTCAGCAGTTTGTCCAAGGCCCCCCAGCTAGTAAACGGTGGGGCTGGGACTTGAACCCAGGCCCATCTGGCTCCACACCAGTGCTCTCTCTACACAGCCCCATTTCTTTTTTTTTTTTTAATTTTTTTTTAAATATATTTTATTGATTCTTTACAGAGAGGAAGGGAGAGGGATATAGAGTTAGAAACATCCATGAGAGAGAAACATCGATCAGCTGCCTCTTGCACATCCCCACTGGGGATGTGCCCGCAGCCAAGGTACATGCCCTTGACTGGAATCGAACGCAGGCCGATGCTCTATCCACTGAGCCAAACCACTTAGGGCTACACAGCCCCATTTCTGAGCTAGAGGAAGAAAAAGCTGACCCTTTTAGGTTGGGTTTACTCCAACAACATTTCTTTATCCATCTTGCTTTCCGAAGCCTCCCCATATATATTTTACCATTTAATATTCCCAGCACACCCGAGAGCAGGGCTCATTGCTGTCTGCCGCATCCCTAGGGCTCCACCCGCACGCATGTGGCTCTGTCCTGGTGTTCAGAGCAGAAGGCATCTGTCTGCTGGGAAAAGACTTCCTGTTAGCTGTAGGGCTGAAGTCACTTGTTCCTGGCTGGCTTCTCCAGCTGTTTATAGTGACTCTTTTAGCCCCAGAACTTCTTGAGTTCCACATTCTCTGCTTAACCGCTCTGAGAAGCACTGACAAGCTCTGGCAGGGTTCTGTCCAGCACCTGGCTTCTGTGATTCTGTTCTTTCATGGCCAGAGCACAGGATTCCCATTAACCTAGAGGAGCAAACGGAATCTGAAACCTCGTGTTGAGACAGGTTCAGGTGCTCAAGACACCCCCACCACCACCACAAACATACACCCTATAACAGTGGCTCAGATAATTTAGATGTGTGTTTCTTTTTTTAAATATTTTTTTTGGGGGGGGTGGGGGGATGTTTATGTATTTCTTAAAAAAGAGTTCAGATATACGTCCAGGGCTGCAATAACAGCTGCATGCAGTCAAGAATCTTATTACACTGCATCTATTGTGTGTTGCCCTCATCCCTCTAGTCTAGGATGGTTCACCACTAGTCCAACCAATGAAAAGAGGCAGAAAGAAGTGGCAGACTTGACTCAGAAGCTACCTTATTCCCATTCTCTCACATTCTATTGACCAGAACTTAGTCACATGGCAATACCTAGCTGCAAGGGAGTCTGGGAAATGTAGTCCTGATATAGTCAGCTAAGTGTCTGGCTAACACTCTTGCTATTTATTCTAATAGAAGACAGAGGAGATGGTTGTTTAAGAGGTGAGCAGTCATCTCCACATCCCAACTGCCAAACTACCCCTCCGTGTAGACCCAGGCTAAACCAGCTCTGGCAACACATGGGGTGCCTTTCTCAATAGTCTGCCTTTAGCCAGGAGCCTTGGACCATTGCAAAGGCACCTCGTCCTGACCCTGAGGCCCAGAGTGAGGGCAACACCAACTCCAGAGTAAAAATCCCTGAAATCATCAGCCCCAGTTGGTTTGGTTCTGTTTACGTGTTTAAAGTGGGTTTGTTCTAGAGCACCAAGCCAGGGGCAGTGACATGTATGGCATGTCTGCCATGTGCCAGGAGCCTCACGCGTATTTACTTTCACCCCCACCGCTGCCCTGGGAGGCAGGCCTTACGCCCCTTCTGCAGGTGAGGTTCCTGTGGCTCCGTGAGTCATATGACTCACTGCAGCCGCCTCTGCATTATTCTGAAGCCTACACGCCTGCCCTTCCTAGAAAGCTTTCCAGTGCTCCAGCACACGGCTGTCCTGAGCCAAGTCTGACCAGCCCCTTCCGAACCCAGCTCTTCTCACGGGAAGGGTCACGGCAGCTCACTAACGCCTGTGCGGACCATTATGGCTTATCTTGTGTAGGACGGAACACATCTTCTCCTGGTGTCCCCCTCGGGAATTTTATCTGTAGAATTCTGCACGTGTGTGAAACGAGATCTCCTCTCTTTATAGGATCGCCCAAGATGAGGCAGAGACCCCCTCCTCGCCGGGATATGACCATAGTAAGTGGCCCCTTGCTTCTGGGGAGCCAGCCAGCCCCTGACCTGAAACTAGCCCCTCACACGTACCTCGCCCTTTCCAAAGACGCTTTCTTCCTGTGCACATAGCGGCCTGGTGACGCAGGCTGCACAGGTGGAAAGTGCCATTAACAGGTGGAAAGACAAGTTGCCCGTGGCTTTTGCCCTCCACTTCCTGAGCCCTTTGTCTTGTCGGTCTCCTCAAACACGGTCACTTGAGACCAGAACTGTGAAGAGGTACAAATACTGTTTGTGGTGCCATTGTGATATTTTACTTGCATACATTTTTTATTCTTTCGGTATCTTTCTAACCAATACATTGAAAAATGGGCCGTCTTTTTTTAAAGCCTGCCATTCAGTGAGCACCTGGTGGGTGCCATGCAGTGCGCTGGGTGCTTCGCTCCCTTCACTTGTGGAATGTTTGCAGTGACCCCACCAGGTTGACCCTGATATTATCCCCATTCCACAGGAGATGAAACTGAGGCCCCAGAGGGGGAGTGGTTTGTGCACCGTCACACCCATAATCAGTATGAGATTCTAACCCAGATGGGTCTGACCTGCAAACCTGTGTTCTTTCCACAACCCTCGCTGCCTCTTCAGTTCAGAGAATATCGTCTTGCCTCACATTTTCGTGATTGTTGGCAAATGTTTCTTCTCTTTGCTCTCAAGCCAAAGGGCCAGTGACCCATCTAGGAGATAATGATTTGAGTGGTCCTCTTCGTTTAGTCCCATGGGTCCACCCGCGCCCCTTGAGGATGATTGTGTGCCCGAGTCCCTTAGCACCCCCGTCTCCCCTCCTTCAGCGCCATGGTAATGGACTCCATGGGACTTAGCACTGTGTTTAATCATACCAGCCTCGAGGTCTCAACCTGCCCAAGCCCCCCATCCCACCCCAAGTGGAGGAAGAGTATTACACCATTGCCGAATTCCAGACAACCATCCCAGATGGCATCAGCTTCCAGGCGGGCCTCAAGGTCGAGGTGAGTGAGCCTGCTGTCCTACCTGTGATTCTTTTCTTTTTTTTAATTTATTGTAACATTGGTTAATAACATTATATAAAGTTTTTGGCTTAACCAAGTTTTTTGGGTGTTTTTTTGTCTTATGATAAATTCTACATCCTCTATTTTCCTCTTCTCTCATTTTGCTTCCTGGTTCATTTCAGTATCGCATTAGCCTTCAGAATTCATGAGCAGAACCACATTGTGCCAGCAGTGGAGCTACCAGGCACTCCCAACTCCTTGCCTGGCCTAGGTATCTTCATAGCATGTGCAATGATGATAATATAGGCACCTCTCTGTGCCCGGTGCGTTCCATACTGATCTGCACAGAAGTTCCGGGAGAAGTCAGTATCTTCAGCCCATTTTACAGATGTACCTGAGACAAAGCGAGGTTAGGTAAATTGCTCATGGTTACATCGCTAGTAGATAGTGAAGCTGGGATTTGAGCCTAGGTATCTTTGGTTTTGAAGACCAGGCTCTTTTCTTTCCTCCGCATTCTTTTGATTTTGAATTTGCTTTTATTCACAATAGCTCTTAGCTTCTCTCTAGTAAATGAAAACTCCCACAGGTCATAATTAAGAGCACACATGTTTAGAGCTTTCACAATAGTACTTTGTAAAGTGTAAGCTTAGCAGATCCTCATTGATGTATTTCATTTTGATTATTCTTCGTATGTTGAATTCACGGATGCGCCCACAATGACTGGTACTAGTATGCCCAGAATTGCCTTTAATTGTTACCATAGCTACCAAGTGTTGGAAAAATGCCAGTCACCCTCAGGTGAAGGGCCTACATTTACCAGCGCCCTTTTCTGGAGAGCGTCCAATGGGACTTAAGTATATGCCTGTCACGTGCACCCTGCTCTTTCAGTAATCTCTGCTGTAATTTAATAATAGGTAACGTTTACCTTTCAGCATCAGCCACCTGCTGTACGCATTAGCGTGTGTGGCCATCGGGAAAACCTGCAGCGGGTGTCATTGTTCTTACCGTTACCTCTTTTGTGTGGTGTGGAACCTCAGGAATGTGGTTTGTGCAGGGCCATTTGGGCAGTAAGTGGTGAAGCCAGAACTAGAACCCAGGACTGCAGGCCCCGGAGCCCAGCCTCTGCCCCCTCTCCGAGCTGGGCGCCGAGTGCAGCAGCAGAACTATGCCCGCCGCCTCTTTTACCTGCGTTTTATTACCCCAGGCACGGCTCCTCTCAGGCAGGGTCCCCTTTCCGGGACAGGGTCAGAGAGTGGGAAAGGCTCAGGCTCTGGAGCCCACCAGCCTGCCTTTAACTCCCGCCTCCACCTCTTGACCGTCTGCGCGTCCTCAGCTGTCCTGAGGCTCGGTTCCGCACCTGTGAAGTGGAATCATAACCCCCATCTCATGGGGCAGTTGTGAGCACGAGTCAGATGGCATGCACGGAGCCTGCCAGAGAACTGCAGGTATGTATTAGCTCGGGCTGCCGTCTCAGAATACCACAGTCTGGGTATCGCCAACCTCTGGTGGTCCCTGAGGTCTGAAAGGTTGGCGACCGCTAGTTTAAAATACAGGGATTTATTTTCTCACAGTTCTGGAGGCTGGAAGGCCAAGGTCACAGTGTCAGCAGGGTTGGTTTCTCTTGGGGCTTCTCCCCTTAGCTGCCCATGGCCATCTTCTCACTGTGTCCTCACATGGTTGTCCCTCTTTCTGTATGTTCTCCTGTGTCCTAATTTCTTGTTATAAGGACACCAGTCGTATGGGACATGGGCCCACCCTGATGAGCCCATTTAACTTAATTACCTTTTAAAGGCTCCATCTCCAACTAGAGTCCCATTCTAAGGCACAGGGCTTCAGCATGAGTTTTGGGCAGATCCAGCTCAGCTCACAGCATGCAGCCTGGGTACCTTTCACCCATGTCACTTTAGATACATGGTCCTGAATGAAAGGCAACAGGTAACATAAGATCTTAAATACAGAGGGGGATTGCACCCACCGTTCCATTCAGTGGGTGTGTATCCCAGAGGGAGAAGGCGGTGCGATGAAAGTTTGTTTTGCCTCCTTCATCACCAGTTCCCCTGTGTGTACACGTGAGCTGAGTGAGGTGCCCCCATTTAAGGATACACGTTTCTCATGCCGCATGCCGTAAGCACCCGTCAGCCACTTTATCTGTGCTCAGCCAAAGGAGCAGCGACCAGGGCTACTTTGGGCTGCCCATGCATTTCACCTTGTACTTTAGAATTGTAGCAGACACTGCGGGGGCCCGTCCTGCGTCCCAACCACCTGAGTTGACTTGCAGCTGCATACAGGTCCCCTACCTCCCATGTAGCCCGAGGGCACCACCCGGAAACAGGAGAGTTAACCCCTGGGAGAAAGGTCTGTGAGTCTCGGGGTAACTGCCCCCACCCCCACTGGGGAGGTCTGGCTGCGCTTGGTCTCTCAGAGGGTCCCTGGTGGATGAAGCCCCCGTGGCCCAGAGCAATACCTGCTCATAGTAGGCCCTCACCTTCCCTGTTTCCTCACTGTCACTTCCTGAAGTCATCCCCCAAATTCACCGCCTGTGCTCGTGTCCGTGTGTCAGGGACTGCTTCTGGGGAAACCCAGGGCTAGACTGGAGCCCACCCGCCTGAGAGGCGCTCCTGTAGCCTCCATCGGCTGTCCACCATCGATGTCTGGGAACCTGCTGAGTGCCAGTCCCGCTTCCGGGACTCAGGTGCACGTGGGTCTCCTACTCCGCCCTGGTCCACTGGCTCTGGAACCACGCCGACTAAGTGCTTTCCTCTTCCTCCCGCCCAGGTGATCGAGAAGAACTTGAGTGGCTGGTGGTACATTCAGATCGAAGATAAGGAAGGCTGGGCCCCAGCAACCTTCATCGACAAGTATAAGAAGACCAGCAATGCCTCCAGACCCAACTTCCTGGCTCCCTTGCCCAACGAGATGGCCCAGCTCCGGCTGGGGGAGGCAGCGATGGAGAACAGCATGGGCGGTGAAGCAGGCGGCCCCTCTCGGCCCCTGCCCGATGCTCCACTCGGTGCCGCGGACCCTGGGATACCGAGGTCCAAAGACTGGAAGGGCGGAAAGGACGTCCTGAGAAAGGCGTCTCCCGACGTGCCGTGCACAGGCTACGAGGAGATCTCCGACCTCAACCAGGAGGAGAAGCCCAGCCTCCCTCCCCGGAAGGAATCCATCATCAAGTCGGAAGGGGAGCTGCAGGAGCGGGAGCGGCAGAGGCTGGAGCAGCTCAGGGGCTCCTCGCCCAAGCCTCCGGGCGTGATTTTGCCAATGATTCCAGCTAAACACAGCCCCCCGACCCGGGACGGCAAGAAGCCAGAGCCCAAGCCTGACAAAAGCAAGGTGTTCCAGCTGAAAAATGAGATGGGGCTGGAGTGTGGCCATAAAGTGTTGGCCAAGGAAGTGAAGAAGCCCAACCTCCGGCCCATCTCCAAATCCAAAGCCGACCCGCCGGAGGAGAAGCCGGAAGCCGTGCCCCAGAACCCCTTCCTAAAGTCCAAACCTCAGGTGAGGCCGAAACCAGCTTCCTCCCCCAGGATCGAGGCACCTCAGGGCGAAGAGCAGGTGGATATCTGCAACCTCAGGAGCAAGCTCAGGCCCGCCAAGCCCCACGAGAAGCCCTTGCTGGATGGAGAGAGCATCCACCAGGCTGTCGGGGGCCAAGACGCGGCCTTCAGCCGCAGCTTCCTCCCAGGGGAGGGGCCTGGGCGCCCTCCGGACAGGACGGGCAAGCAGGACGGGCTCAGCCCCAAGGAGATACCCTGCAGACCCCCTCCGAAGCCAGCCAAGACCACGGATCCTGCGCCTAAGAACGTGCCCGTGCCTCTCAAGGAGGCTCCCCAAGAGGCTCCCCAGCAGAGACCCGTGATCCCGCCCCGCAGACCACCGCCCCCCAAGAAGACCTCCTCCTCACCCAGGCCCCTCCCGGAGCCCATGGGGCTGCAGCGGGAGGCCAACGAAGGCAGGGCAGCCCCTGCCCCAGGCCGGGCCCTGCTGGTCCCTCCAAAAGCCAAACCTTTTCTGGCCAACTCCTCAGGGGGCCAAGATGACATCCGAGGGAGAGGCGGGCTGGGCCCACGGCTGGCGGGCAAGATGGGAGAAAACAGGGAGAAAACGGCGGCGCCCCCCTTCCCCAATGCCGACAGCCCGAAGGACCTGTACGTGGCCGTGGCCAACTTCGAAGGGGATGAAGACACCAGCAGCTTCCAGGAGGGGACGGTGTTCGAGGTCCGGGAGAAGAACAGCAGTGGCTGGTGGTTCTGCCAGGTGCTCAGCGGGGCGCCCTCCTGGGAAGGCTGGATTCCTTCCAACTATCTCCGCAAGAAGCCCTAGCCTCCCCGCGGGGAGGTCCCGCGCGTCCCCGCTGGTTTTGCCCACATATTTAATATGCCTCTTAATTTATCATTCTCCACGTGGCTGCGAAGGAAGGCAGGCTCTGGAGGACTGTGGTTTCCTCCCTCCCGTGGGTGGAGCCAGCCCTGGAGGCGCAGCAGCCACGCCCTGGCTTTCTCTCCACTTGGTATCCCTGCCTTCAGGCCTGCGGCATCGCTGCCCGCTTCCCTGCCCACCCGGCGGCAGACCGTGACTCTCCAGGCCTCCAGGAGCGGAACCCACCACGTGGAGAACCTGCAGGAGGATTTCTCTTTGCTGGGACGGGACCCGGCGCAGTGAGGGGAGCCCGTCCCTGGCAGCCCATCCGGCCTGTGGCTGCTTGCTCCAACCTCTCCATGTCTAAAAGCCGGTGACTTTATTCACCCCCTTTCCCAAATGCCTGGTACCAAGAAGGACTGTGCCCTATGGAAGTGGGCTCCGTGGGCTCCTCTCCGAGGCCTCAGGCCCCTGGGCCTCTCAGGTTTGACCAGATGCAACTGCCCCACGAGTGAGTGGGCCTGGAGGTCCACTTGGCCGGCCCTCTGCCTCCCAGCTTCTGTCTTGGGAACCTGATCCGTCCTGAAGGGGCAGGTCCAGCCTGGAGCAAGTGCCGGCCTCCGGGCAATCCCCGCCCCACCCTGGGGCCCTTCGCTTCTGTCCACTTAGAGCAAGAATCTCCACGTTTGCTTGAAAAAAGAGGACCATTAACAAGCCATGCTCCGTTCTGAGCACCCCTTTGCCGAGTAGCCAGTCGGTCCCAAACTGTGTACAAGGCACTTTGCGTTCGTGTTTAACCCTCACAACAACCCTCTCTTGTAATATTATACCCATTTCATAGATGAGGAAACTTGGCGCCGTGTGCCCCAGGCACCCTAGCGAGGAAGAGGGGGAAGAGGACTTGAATCCAGGCCTGCCTGGCTCCCACCCCTGTGCCCTTTCCGTTGGAAGAGGCAAACCAGGCAGGGGAGGGAGAGAGAGCTGAGGGAGCAGAGGGAGCTGAGGTGGTCTCACATGCCAGCCTTGAGGGGCCCAGGTGGCTCAAAGACCAGCAGCTGGTTCTCCATCAGGCTGAGCGTAGCGAGCAGTGGCCCCCTCAGATGACAGGGCCAGGCAGCGCCTCCTGTCGCTCTGCTGCTGCTTCCCACTCCTCTCTGGCTCTCACAGTCCCCTTCCACACACACACACACACACGCACACGCACACGCACACACACCCCGCACGCTCCCCCTCTCTGTCTCCCTGGATGGAACCCAGGGCAGTGCTCCCACCCATTTGATGGTGTGGTTCACGGCCACGTACGGGACTAGAACCAGGACCCTGGGTTTCCAGCTCCAGGCCCAGAGCTCCTGCCTGTGGGCTGGGCTGCCTGGGGGTGAGAGAGCAGTCCCCCCCACACACACCCCCACCCTGCAGGAGAGGACCTGGCCCTGTCCTGCCCCAGAGGCTCTGAGTCAGTGTTCATTGGCTGCCATGCCTTTGGAACCCCAAAGCCAGCTTTCCTGGGGGTGCTCGCTGTCCACCTGCAGTGCCAAAGGCCCTCCCCCACCACCTGGGCTCTGGATGTGTCTGCGGGAGAAGGAGCCTCCTCAGACCCCAGACCGTCTCCTTCCTTCCGTCCGCCTGTAAGTCCCATCCCGCCAACCCGGGGGCAGGGCCCAAGGTTACTCCCTGCCCCTGCTCGCCCTTGGCCCCTGCCCAGAACCCTGGGGGGAGAAGGGAGGCAGCTGGAAGAGGGCCACCCCCCTCTTCCCGGCCCCAGAGCACGTTTCCCTGAGTGTTTGCTCCCCTTTGGTTTACGCCACCTTCATGAAGCTGTTATGCAGGATTTGACTACATTTCAAGACAGAACTCTAAATTTTTTTTCCTGGTTCCCTTTCTGCTTTCAAAGACCTTTTCAAGCTTTTCCTGAGCTCCTACTGTGTGCCAGGCGCGGGGCAGGCCAGGCTGCGCGCGGCCCCCTGCCGCCCCCTGCCCGGCTGGCTGTGGGAGCTTTGCTTTCCATTTGCTGACTCCACTGAAGGTGCTTGTCTTTGACCTCAGACCCTCCTCCGGGGATCAGCCGGGTGAGGAGGGACTCGTTCTTTCTCTGGGCAGAATGTTTTTCTGCGAATGAAAGGACTTGCCTTTATTATTATTATTTTTATTATTGTTGTTGTTATTATTCTGACGGGAACTGAAGGTACTAAAGCCACTTTCCTCTCTGTTCACTGTTCTTTCCGCGGGATACACTGGTGTCCCACGGCCCCTCCCTCAGCACCGTTTGCCACAGGGTGGGCACGTCCCCAGCCACCTGGAAGTGGGGGTCTTAGTGGCAGTGGCTCTCCCTCGCTGTCCTTGACTGTGGACTTAGGTTCACACCCTCCAGGACTGTGGCCTCTATTCGGTGAGCAATTGACAGAGCAAACGCAGAACTCCCCTGGCGTTCCCGCCACAGTGGGAATTGGCCTCCGGCTGTAGGAACGGCCCCCACACCAAGCTCCGGCAGGCCCCCGGGGCTCAGACACGCTCCCCGCTTTAGCGTGGCCCTCGAGGTAGCCCTGGGAGGGGCATGAGGTCAGTCCCAATCTGTAGTGAGAAAATCGGGGTTCAGGGGGTGAGGTCGCATTCCTGTCTTCATCCAAATAGTGACAGTGACCGAGCAGAGACGGGACCCCGGGGGTTTTCTCCCTGCGCCCGTGACCTACTCTGCCCCCAGCAGTGAAGTGTGTGTGGGCTTCCAGGGGAGCAGGGGGCCCTCGAGTTTCTCCTCCTCCTGCCCCACGATGACAGGTCCGTGGGTCACAGGTAAATGCGACTCTGGAAGGCAGACAATGACACCGCCACCCCTCTTCCTTCCTGTATTTCACCCTACATCTTAGGGTAAAACTACAGCTCGTGGTGCCACCAAATCTTAGGAAAATCTGAGTTTGGGGGTTACCGCTTGATAGAATAGGCCTTTGCTGAAATTCTTCCGCTCAGAATTTCTTTGCCATTCGGTGGGGTTATGTCCTTGTCCCGGGCTGAGGCGTGGGGAGGGCTGGAGCCGCTTTTACTACCCTCGCCTTCTGAGGACTCCGAGGGCCCAGTCGGGCTTCCAGCCTTTGTGAGCCCCCGCCACGCTTTCTCAGGCTGTGTTCTCAGCCTTAAAATATTCCTGAGCCCACGGGGGATTTCACTCCCAGGTGGAAGAGGAAAACAAAGGCCACATTCAAGGGCAAGTGCCCGATCTCCCAGGGTCTGGAAGACCTTAGGGATGGGCAGTCTTGTGTTTATTCAGCCCGTACCAGGTACCAGCACTGAGCGCTCCCGCCCTCACATAGCTGAACTGGACACCAAGAAAGAGCAGGTCTCGGGCTTGGCCTTCATCCTGTCCTTGTGCCAAGTCTCTAACTGTTGGGTCCACCCCCTCCTGGGAGGTCTTGCCTTGTCTTGGGACTGTGACAGTGGGCACACAACAGCCTCAGCCATCCATGGGCCATCTTGCGCCCCCTTGGTCATCCAGGCCCATCCTTCCGGGCTTTTGCTGCAAGCAGCCATACCATGCCATAGACCAAAGACGACCTAGTGTCAAGTTGTGGCCCAAGGAGTGGTCATTGGCTCACACAGAGGCCTGAGGGTTCAGCTCCAAACGTAGACACAGTTCTGACTTTGCAGTTAAAGCCAGGAGGTTCCACAGCCCACTCAGACCACCTGCTGAGGACCCTTCCCACCACCGCGACCGTCCGGCTCCGTGGGGTGATGTTTGTTTCTGGCGCTACCCTGCGGGTTCCTGAGCCCCGCCTCGTGCTTCAACATTCCATCCTCCTTCCCCTTTCTACCCTGTTCTCCGGAGGAGGCCTCCCTGGTTCCAACCAGGGACAAGGGGGCTCCATCTCTCTCCTGGAAGAAGCCAAACCCAGTGCCACAGCCAGCGCTTTTCGGGTCCTCTGTGGACTCGAGGTGCCCTGCCAGGCTTGTTGCAGCAATAAGCAATTCTGCGGCCACAGAGGTGTCCACACCTCACCCCTCTGTATACCTGTCCATGCCTTTGGGCCCATCTCACTGTTCATGGTGCCCCTTTCACTTCCAGGGGGTGGTGAGGAGCAATGGTCACCTTCGCCACAGCCCCCGTGTCCTGCATCAGGGAGCAGCCACGTCAGCGGCCATGCCTACATCCCTCCAGGAGCAGCGGGCTCTGGCGCCGTTGCCCCGCCACCTCGTGTCCGCTCACAGGATGATGCTGGCGATCTCTGGACACTCAGCACTCCTACACCCTCGGCAAATGGACAAATTCTGGTGGTGGTTTTTGTTTTAACACAAAAAAATACATGAGGATATATAATGTGAGGGGGGTGGTGGTGAACAATTAGCTGTAGCATGTATAGACTATATACTTACCATTAGACTTTTTTCTTTCTTTTTTTTTTTTAATAAAAAAATAGTGCTTGACTGGTTTCAAGCTTCATTGTGAAGATGCCGTGTCTGTGCATTTATTGGGCTGCGGAGCGGGCGCACGGCTTTTGCCCTGGCATCTGGGCCTGCCGTTCTGAGGTCCGAGAATAGAAGTGAATGTGAGTGCTTAGGTTTGGGCATTGCCCAGAAATAGGGCTGGCTTCTCTCTCTGGGCCCTAGTGCACCTTGATTCTCCCAACTTCATTGTCCAGAAACCCCGGGAAAGCTGTGTCTCCCACATGTTAGCTTCGCCTGAGCCAGAGCACGTCACATGGCCTGGGAGATGAGGTCTCCTGTTGCCTGACAGGCAGGTGTGAGTGGTGCGGGCTGGGGGCTCTGCAGGGACCGCCCAGGCCATCTGCTCCCAAGGAGGTGGAGGGCATTGCCTGAGCTTGTATGACTTTCCCAGGGGCAGAGCCAAGACAAAACCAACCCCGATGTGCAGCCTTCTTGTTCCAGATGAGTCTTAAACTAAAAGACACCCGCCTTCCTAGAGCAAGAAGAGTAGGACCAGCAGAGTCCTGAGCAGAACTGCCAGCGGGGTTTACACACACTGTCTGTTCTCCCTCGGAGGGAGCATTGCAAAGAGACCCGTGCCTGCTGGCAGACCTTGCTGAGGGACAGTGGTCATTCATTGAGGTGTTATCTCTGTCCTCATAAGAAGGAAAAGCATTAGGGGGTTCAGGTCGCCCTGGGAAGCGTTTTCTCCCAAACCTTCCAAACCAGGAGTGCTTGGCCATCAGGATACAAGCAGCCTGGGCTTCCCTGGCAGGTGGAGAGGGGTGCAGGGCCTCCTGAGATGGGGACCGGACCATGGCCAGGAACCAGACCTGACCTATTCTCAGGGGGAGCTCATCCCCCCACCTCCTGCAGGTCTCGCTTGGAACCAGCGCCCACCATGCTGTCCTCTGCTCCGGGAATGCCACACCACACGCCAGCCAGCTCTCAGTCACCCTCCCAGGAGGCGGAGGGCATTGGCAAACCCGTGGGTCCACAACACACCGTGGGGCTATTCCTCTGGGTCCAGGGTCCTTCATGTCCGTCCCTTCTCCAGTTCCCTGTCCATCTGGTCCTCACATTCTTGCCACCCAGGCTTCCCAGCCAGTGATTCTCAGATTTTAGTGACCCTGGAATGAGCCAGGGAGCTTGTCACAGTGCCCGTTCCTGGGCTGCACCCCTCAAAGTCCGAATCAGCGGGAATCTGTACCGTTTAAGAAGTACATTGTGAGGAAGTAGTCCATGTGCTCCTTCTGAGAAGCGGACGGGCTCGGCACCTTGCCTGGCGGCATCGAGGGTGTTCAAGGGTGGTGCTTTGTCCTACTCGTATCAGCGTCACCTGTCATTTCCTGGGCATGTGCTGTGTTCCGGGCCTGTGAGACACACTACATACACTCACTTCACCCTCAAAGTGCTCCATGAAGTCGACACCTGCATTGGACATGTGAAGAAGGCACTGATGGGGTCAGGGTCTCCCAGTGTGTGGTGTGTGCTTCTATGCAAGCTCTTGTACCGCACACTGGGTCCCTCCCAAGTGCTAATCCAAGCACAGATCTCACCCTGGTGCAATTAGCTCCTGGGTTCAAGATGGTCCTCAAGAAATACTTCCTTTTCCAAAAACCCAAGTCCGTAAAAAGGAAAAGGTCTAACTTCCCTTGAGCACATGCTATTGGCTGGGAACCTTGTAGCTATATCTGTTTAATCTTCACTACGGCAGTTCTAGGTAGGCATTCTTTATACCCATTTTATGGATGGAAGTTAATAGTCCAAGGCTAAGTTTACCCATGGTCATAGCTAATCTGAGGATGAGCTCAGGTGTCCAACTCCAAAGCCCCTCACATTAAAAAGATCTGGAATCTCCCCAGTCTACCTCTCCACTCAGCACTTTCCAAAGTGTGTTTCCCGGAACAAATGCCAGCGGATACTTGGAAGGAAGTGTTCCGTGGGCATGTTCGTTTGGGAAATAAACAGTTTCTTTATTGCAGGGCTTCTCGAAGCCTATTATATAATAACAAGCAGTTTCAACTTGGTTGCCCAGACGTACTTGACCATGAAGCCATTCACAGGAGCAGTGTTTCATGTAATATAAAAGCTGGAAAATGTCACATTTCACATTTCAACTCTACCATGAATTCTCTCTGAACCACGACCCTTAGCCAATCCCTCCCCCTAATTCCAGCTGCAACTCTCCCCCCTCAGGGAAATCCAGTCTTTAATACTAACATTCACAGCATCACAGGACACTGTCCTTCTCCGAAGGGACGGCTGCACATGAACTTGGGTGCCTCCTATTCACTATTGGCCTGACTCGGAGAAATCCGAATGGATTTCCCCGTTGTCTGCTGGCTGCTGACTAGGCTCATTTTAGCTGATTTCTTGTAATAAGATATATATACAAAATTAAAAGTGTCATAAGCTAAAAAATGTATAATGAAAAGATCTAATTTTTCACTGTGCTTCCGTGGCAAGCCTTATGCGTCCCCCTAGGGCGCACGGACCCCGCTTTGTAAACCACTGAGGAAAGAACGGTGGTGGGCTCTGGGGCTGCTAGACAGAGCTGGGTTTGAGTTCTGGCTCTGATAAAACACGACCTCTGTGAGGCTGAGCATCCTCATCTGTAAAACGGAGACCAGAAAGCCTTCCCCACAGCATTGCGAAGAGGACTAGAAGTCATGTGTGCCTCACACACAGAATTCATAGTCTTCAAACGCGTTCATTGCCTGGTGCAGGAGTTGGCAAACTGCTTAAAGAGTCAGATAGTAAATATTTTGGGCTTCGGGAGCCAGGAGGCAAAACCAGAATGTTATGCAAGGACTTACATAACTCCTTAAAATGTAACCAGTTAGCCTGTAAAAGCCATTCTTAGCTCTGTACAAAAACAGGCAGCTGGCGGGATTAGGCCCTGGGGCGGTAGTTTGCCAACCCCCCTGGCCCAGGGTCGCTTCATCTCCTATTTTATTACTACTTTTCTCTAAATGGAAGTTTTTCCACCGTGTGTTTATGGAACATCAGCCCCTCACATGACCGTGGCACAGCATCGTGTGGTCAAACCCACTTGGCAGCCACCGCGCGAGCCTCTTCCAAGCCTCCTCCTTGGGGATCCGTGTCACACGCTGCGTGTGAAAGGCCCTGAGAAGCCTGCCATCACGAACCCGTTTACCCTGTGTTAACCCAGTGTCTCCAAATTGTATTTGACAACAGAGTTCTTTTTTTCCCACATAACGTTCAAGGAACATCCCACAGAACAGACTTCGGAACATGCCGTTGTAGACCCCAGAATTTAATCGTTACTCAGAATGTCGCGGTGTTAAATTGAGTCCAGGCCCCATCAAGCGAGCCTCTGAGGACTGTGACTTGGATGGTGCGTCTTAGGATCTTCAGCGGAGTAGCCAGGCCAACTCGGTCTTCCTTCAGAAGGAACTGCATTTTTCTCCCCGGGTGTGCCTCGGAATCACGTGGAGGGCCGCGGGAAGTCCCTCCGAGAAGGGTCGAGGTGGCTGAGAGGTGGCTTGCACCGTGGGAAGTAAGCAGCAGCCACTGGGTGTCCTTGGAGGGGATTTGAGAACCAGGTCATGTCCTTGCTGTTGAGAACATGGACTTGCTAAGCTACTTCCAGTGTATTTTTTCACTGGTCAAATGCAGTGCTTCCGTACCAGTACCATCTTAGTCCATTCGGGCTGCTCTAACAAAGTGCCGGCGACTGGGTGGCTTACACACAACGAAAATTGATTTCTCACAGTTCTGGAGGTTGGGAGTCTGAGACCAGGGCGCCAGCATGGTCGGGTTTGGGGAGAGCCCTCTTGTGGGTTGCACACTGCTCACTTCTTGTTGTATCTTCACGGGGTGGAAAGAGACCAAATTGGCTCTCTGGCCTCTTCTTATAAGAGCACTCCTCTCGCCCTAACCGGTTTGGCTCAATGGATAGACCGTCGGCCTGCGGACTCAAGGGTCCCAGGTTCGATTCCGGTCAAGGGCATGTACCTTGGTTGCGGGCACACCCCCAGTGGGGAGTGTGCAGGAGGCAGCTGATCGATGTTTCTCTCTCATCGATGTTTCTAACTCTCTATCCCTCTCCCCTCCTCTCTGTAAAAAATCAGTAAAATATATTTTAAAAAAATAATAAAAAATATCACCAAAATGGAAATGCAAAGTGAAAACGTTCTCATAGAGAAGTTTTATACCCAAGTTAAGAAACACTGTTTCCCTGTTTCCTCATAACCCTCCTCTTCACTGTGCCAGGCCCTGGGGCTGAGCAGACAGACATTCTCAATCGGAAAGTCTTTTTGCTGCCCGCCTCTCCACTTCCCGTCAGCACCCTGGGCGCGGGGAGGAGGGTGCACGGAAGCTCTGGGTTTGTTCTGGAAGGCGCTCAGAAGTGCCGGGATCACCCAGTGACTCACGTCCACGCCGGGGCTGGCTCCTGTGGGGCACACAGCAGCAGTGTGTTGAGAGACACCCGAAGCTTCTTCTGGAACTTCATTTCTACCCAAAAATTCGTTAGGGGGGAGGGAGGGAGGGAACTGGGAGTCAAGATTTAAGCAATTTAACCAGCAAGTTATTTGACACATGTTTATGTTAAACAGGGACATGTTGTGCAATAGACTATAAAGCTTGCCTGTGCTTTTAAGAGAAAACTGCAGACTTTGAAGAAATGGTTTCACTGGGCTGCTCGGGGTCAGCCCCGGGCCCTGGGCCCCGGGCCCCTGAGGGAACTTGAGTAGGTCAAGTTTGAGAAGCTACGTGATTCATCAGCAAGGAACACAGAGCCCTTCAGACCTCCTTCCAAGAAGGTCTTATTTCCGATCCAAACCAGATGCCCCATGGAGCAGGGAGGAGCTGTAGAGCGTCTCCAAGAAACAGGACACTCCATGTTAGTGCTTATTGTTTCTGAAAGCAAATGCTTTGGAGAACTTCCTGCTTTTCAAAACTTTCAGTTCTTCTGGTCACTTCATGGGGAGTGTCCATATTAAGTTGTGTCTCTATTTAATTACCTTAAAGAAAACAACTTGGGCCCCGCTGGCGT